GCTCCTCACAGCACTTCTTGGCCAGCTCTGCCTCCGGGTCTGTGCCCAGGGGTCCCCGCAGTTGAGAAGGGGGAGGCTCGTGGCTTATATGGAAGGGGCCAGAAGGAGAACAAGCCCCTGAGGGGTGGTTTCCAATGGGACGATTCAAGGAGGAATAAACGCTCAGAGCTTCTGCTGTCCTCTGGTATGTCGTGAAACTGATTCTGGAAAGGTGAGGTACAGCTTTGCACTGATGAGGAACACATATTTCTTTTATAATCAGAAAAAAATGAACCTAGATTTTCAAAAGATGTTTATATCGGGTGGTGCTAAAAGGCTTCAGAGTCATCTATGCCTCTCCCACTTAACCCGACCTGCCTTCTGCTTGCAAGTCACTGGGAAATGGTGAGGACCATGTTTCCTGCCTTTGAGATGCTTACAGGGAAATAAAAGAAGCACCGAATCAGAGTCTAAGAAAGAAGCTAGGAGACCAGAAGGCATTCTGAATGGGAGAGGCACAGCGGGCTTAGTGGAGAAAGGGGAAGGTAAGGGGTCCACGTTCTCTCTCTACGGTCTGTAGGACCGTAGAGCTTCAAGGGCCTTCTCTGCAAATTAGAAAGATAATATCTTTGTGTTAACTATGATGCAAGTTTTGTTAAACAAAGTAATAGGGGGGAAGGGGGAAATGTGAGCCGTTGGCCTCTTGAGACCATCCTCTGTCCAGTGTGGCTGTAGTTGTTTTTGTTTTTTGTGTTTTTAGATTTGAGAGCAGAGAGGAGACTGTGCATGCACATGAGGGGAGGGGCAGGAGGGGAGAATCTCCAGCAGACTCCCTGCTGAGCGTGGAGCCCAACACAGGGCTCCATCCCACAGTCCATGAGATCATGACCTGAGCAGAAACCAAGAGTTGGATGCTTAACCAACTGAGCCCCCAGGTCCCCTCAGTGTGGCCATAGTTTTAACTTCCGCATTGCCACACCCAATGGGGCAATGGAAAGAGAGCCTGATGTTGGGGACTTGTTCCCCTGGCTCGCTGACCCTGAAGCAGGAGCCCCTTGCTCCCAGAGCTGACACCTGGAAAGTAGTCTCCTTGGTCAGCCAAGTGGCCAAGAGTCTGAGGCAGCTGGACCTGGAGAAGCCAGAAGGCTGTTTACAAGCGCTCCAGTGAATGAGTCATGTGTGTGGACGTTTGTCACCACACCCCAGAGTCCGAGGCAAAGGGAAAGACAAGCAACCATTACTAGCCACTTTCTGCTCCTCCCTTGGGACAGCACATTAGCCCATTCAGAGCACCCAGAGGTGTGGGTTTCTTTTTTTTTTTTTTTTTTTGGGGGGGGGGGTTTTTTTTTGAGGAGGGGGAGGAGCAGTGGGAGAGCGACAAGCAGACCGGCACTGAGCGCAGAGCCTGATGCAGGGCTTGGTCTCACACCCCTGAGAGCATGATCTGAGCTGAAACCAAGAGTTAGCTGAACTGACTGAGCCCCCCAGGTCCACCCCCCCCCCGGTGGTTTTTGAGTTAGTTCCCTTGCAGTTGGGGGTGTACTGAGGACCTATGGGCAGGAGTGGTTGACAGTGGCAGGGTGGGAAACGTCTCTCCCTCTGCTGGCCCTTCCTCCCCACCCCCAGCATGGCTCTACACAATGTCTTATCCTGGGGGATTGTTCCTGGTTGCTCCCAAAAGCAAACCTGTGCTGGTCATCTAACTGCACGGCTGGTGTCTGGGAGTCCTGGCATGCTCTAGTCTGTTGCTTTGGGAGGAGGACAGGTGGCTAACCTGTCCAGTCCAACCTGCCAGGCACCTTGTCCACGCGCTCAGGGCCAACAGAAACCCTTTTCCTCTTTCAGTCAGGGCTAGAGGCGGGCCGGTGAGAGGAACGAGAAGTCAACTCGCCGCGCCCTGGCTGTGGGAGGTGTTTGTAAACGCTCCTGGAATGCGGCGAACCTGCGAGGGGTCAGCCGCCCCAGGACCACCTGGCCTGTGGGAGAGGGTGGGAGGGATGCCCGGGTGGACTCCTCTGGAGGCAGGTAGGGCACAGGGCCGGGTGGAGCACCAGCCCTGCCGTCGTACTTGTCGTTGCGCCCGCACACCCCCCAGCCTGGGCTGTGGGGCTGTAAAACTAGGAGAAGACAGACTTACTCCCAGGCGGTCGGTAAGTGAGGCTTGAGGGACAGTGTGCTCTGGCTGGAGGAAGGGAGAAAACAGCCACCCAGGCATTCTAGCACCAAGGGCACCTGGTGCTCTAGCTCCTGGCTTCTCTCTCCCCTGACGTATTTCCGATTCCTGCCTCTAGTGAGCCCTAAAGCCTCTGAGTTAATCCATGCCAACGTCCAGTGTCTAGAAGGATCTTGATCTTGATTTCCTGGTGGTGGTGGTGGGACAGCTTTACCCTCCCAACCTACCACCTCTGCTTTAACCACAGAGCCTGTGTGTGTCTGACAAAACCCAAACACATGAAGTCACAAGGTACTCATAATTTTTCCTTCCCCCTTGCCCCCACCCCCTTTGTCCTCTAATCCTTTCCATGAATGGAAGGGATGCTTGGTATCCTACTCAGCATGTGAGGCTGTCCAGCTAGGTTTCATTCCTTGCTATCTTTATTGTGGGGCAGCACTAACAATGTGAGTGTGGGGTGGACGGGAGAGGAGAGCTGAAAAACTTCACTCCCAGGGTCAGGTTGGACCCCAGATCTCTGACTCTGTCCAGCTGGGATGTCGTGGAGCAGTGCACAGGTAGGAAAACCAGGAGGGAAGTCAATGCCTTATTTAATAAAGTACCAAGTTGGAATAGACAGCAAGGATGGATAAGTGGCAGGGTGGGGTGAGGCCAGAGGCAGACAGGCCCTAGGTGAACATGAAGGCATCTGGCTGTGACCCGCCATGATATTGGGCGCTGGGTGACTTCGGCTCATACCTGCCTTACAGTGTTGAAACACAGCCTCATCACACCACTGCTCAAAATCCTCTGAAAGCTGGCTCACCCTGGCCTAACACTGCGGTATAAACTCCTTAGTCTGGTGTTCATGATCTGCATGATCTGGGCCCACCTACCTTGCCTGTCTTATCTCTACCATCCACCCCCAGTGCCCTCCTAAAATCGCGCACATTCCAGCGCCATGGGGTGCCCGTAACCCCTAAACATGCCATGAACTTTCCGGCCCCCATACCATTGCTTAGGCTGTTCTTTTCTCTCTTCCTGAAATGCTCTTCCCTTGTGTCCCCCTCTCTGCCTGTCAAATCTGGCATATGCTTTAGGGCCCAGCTCAATGTCACTGCCTTCATAAAAAAATCCACCTGCTTAGAGAAATCACTCCAACCTCAAAACCCCCAAAGCATTTTATTAGTATAGGACTTCCTTTTTTTTTTTTTTAAGATTTTATTTATTTATTTGTCAGAGAGAGAGAGGGAACACAAGCAGGGGGAGCGGGAGAGGGAGAAGCAGGCTCCCCACTGAGCAGGGAGCCTGATGCGGGGCTCGATCCCAGGACCCCGGGACCACGACCTGAGCCGAAGGCAGACACTTAACTGACTGAGCCACCCACGCGTCCCTAGGACTTCCTTTATAGCATTTGTCATGGTGTGCCTTGAAACTGGATCTTGTTCAGAGGGCTTTGTGCCCTCCGTAGCTCCTAGCACAGGCACCAAGTAAGGTCTCAGTAAATCTTTATGGTAATGAATGGAGCCATGAGGTTGAATGACACCAATAGATGGTCAAGAAGCAGAAATGGCACCAAAACAACAGAGTTCTATTAGGGCTTGCCCATCACTTACCTGTCTGGTGCCTTTCTTTTCCCTTTCTATCACCATTACATATTTACAACATACTGAATAGGTCTTTCCCACTTGGGAGCCACCCTCAGTGCAAAGCCCAGGCATCATGCATCTTCTAATTTCCTCCATGGGAAAAGGATACACTGTGTGCTCATGGTTGGCTGGTTTAACCTGCACACTCTTCAATTCCATAGCACTTCCTGAGGACCTACTGTGTACCTAGGTTTCTGCCAGGGGCTACGGAAGGGACAAGTTAAATAAGTCACCACCTGGTCCCTGCCCAGACAGGGACTACTGGAAGCTTACCCATGGAGTAAATGTGAGTGAAGTGTTACAGTTAGCAGGACCTGGGAATGAAGGGAATCTGCCAATCCAATGGACATCTGGAACAAGGAAGTAAATGATTGGAAGCCCAGAGATAAGGAGCATGGAGAGACTGACCAGGATCCACTCAGGGAAAGCTGGGGGAACTGGAGTGGGGGTGGCACTCTGTTCTCCTTATGTTTGGTTTGGCAATCCTATTTTCAGTTCCTCCTTTATTCTTTTAGCCTCTTAGCCTCACCTTATTTGGCGAGGGCAGGCAAAATAGGACACTCCCACATCACCTCCTGACCGCCCCCCCACCCCTTACCTTCCCCTTTTCGGGCCCTCAAATGATCCTCCTCCTTCCCGACCCACCTGGCGCCATCCCAGAGTAAACCACCGGCTGGCCAAAATCAAAAGAGCAGTGAATTGGGGATCGCGTTCATTATCACCCTCATAGCTACTCTTGATTGAGAACTCACCATGTGCCAGGCTACATTATCTTTTTTACAGCAACACTAGGAGGAGATTGTTATCTCATTTTATGGGTGAAGAAACTCAGAGCAAAAGATGTTAAGTAATCTGTGCCAGCTCACACACCTGCCAGTTGGGGGTGCCAGATGGGAAATGAGGTCTGACTCCCAGGGCAGTGCCCCGGTCAGTTCCGGTTGGGCCGTGCGACCTTTGGCAGTTGGGGACCCCGTCCCTTAACCAACACCTCTCGCACCGGAATTCTCCAAGCCCCCGCCCCCGCCCCGGCCTCGCCAGCCTTCGGCGCCCGAGCTGCTCGCCCGCGGGAGCCGCAGAGGCCCGCACAGCGCGGGCAGGTGGAGCGGGCGGGGCCAGCGCCGCGGCCCCGGGCGAGGAGAGGCGGGGCCTGGCGGGGGCGTGGCCGGAAGCCTTAAAGAAGCTGGGGCGGCGGGGCGGGCCGCAGCGGCGGCGGATCGCAGCGATCGTCTCCTCGCTTCCGAGCCGACCGCGGCACCGTCACCATGTCCCTGGCGGCTTCGGCGGGCCGGGGCCCGGGGGCCGTGTGGTCCCCAACGCACGTGCAGGTGACGGTGCTGCAGGCGCGGGGCTTGCGGGCCAAGGGCCCCGGGGGCACGAGCGACGCGTACGCGGTGATCCAGGTGGGCAAGGAGAAGTACGCCACCTCGGTGTCGGAGCGCAGCCTGGGCGCGCCAGTCTGGCGGGAGGAGGCCACCTTCGAACTGCCGCCGCTGCTGTCCGACGGGGCCGCGGCCGCCGCCACCCTGCAGCTCACCGTGCTGCACCGCGCGCTGCTCGGCCTCGACAAGTTCCTGGGCCGGGCCGAGGTGGACCTGCGGGAGCTGCACCGGGACCAGGGCCGCAGGAAGACCCAGTGAGTGCGGGCCGAGGGGAGAGGACGGGGAGCGGCGGGCCGGGGAGCGGGGCAGTGCGGGGTGGGGAACGTGTGGCTGGGCGCTGAGATCCTTTTAGAGCGAGCGCGGCGCTCCCCGCGCCGCTGTGTCCCAAGGGGACGGACGGAGAGAGGCCTTTGGACAGGGATCCCCCGGGCCGATAATCATAGTCTGACCTAGCTTCAATTTCTCCTTCGGCTGTCCCACCCCAGCTCTCCCAGTGTGTGGGCTCTTTGAAGCCAGCGCTAGGGGTGGGGGTGGGGGAGTACCTGGGGTGTTTTTGAATCTGCGGGACGTCGCTCAGCGCCCGGAACTTAGTAAGCACTTAATGAATTTTCGATGAATTGTAAATACTTGTGGGCTGACGAATTCTTCTTACTAGTGTGGGTAGTGTGGATGTTTGATATACTCATTAGCTTATGCGGAAAGCCTCCTGGGTATTTAACTGTCCTAGACACTGAGCTGGGAATGGCTGGGCCTGGGAGCAGGGAGGGTCAAGGTGGAGGGTGAACCCCACGGACACTCTCTGGCCCTAGAGGCTCACCAGGGGACAGAGCTGGGGCATTACAGTGCGGGGTAGAGGCTGCCCAGAGATGGCTGTCCCTCACCCCCACCTCAAGTGCGGCCTACGGGCTTGGTGAAGAGAATCTGCCCCTCCCTCTTACCCTTTTCTTCCCCCACCCCCGCCCCCAAAGCCTGCTAGAACAGTTTGGTCTTCACTTTTAGACTGAAAATTATTAACCCGGTTTGCCCTGAGCCCCAAAGTTAGTAAGGATTTCCCAATGCTGGTTAGAGCGAGGGTCTGCCCTTGGTCCAGCTGAAGTGGGAGGTAGGCTGTGTTTCTTTTTGGCCTTTGTCAGGTTCTCTCTGGTCCTCCTCTGAAAGGTTGGCTGCTCACCTGTAGCTTCTCAGTCTAGAGTTGTGTGCTAGGGTATCTGACTCCCACAAGGAGAGCTGGGCACCACCCATTTCACTTCAAGGTGTCACCCATTTATTTGTTCTCTTTCACAGGTGTTTGCCATGGAGCGTTTGATTATGGAACATTTGATTATGCTCGTGTACTGTAGCAAAAGCTGGCCTCCTTAGCTTAATTGGTTACTTTGCTGGAACTTAAATATGCAAGTCAGTCATATTACCACAACTCCTATTTGTGAAGCACATGGATTCCAATTGGGTGTTTTAGATATAAATGGTATTTTAACTTTCCCTTGTGAAGAGGACAGGAAAAGCAAGAGGGTTTGAAGTTGCCAGACTCCCTTTTCTGCATCGTGGGTCCAGTTTCAGCTTGCATGCTTGCAAATGCAATACCTGATTCACTTATCTGGCCAAAGATGAATAGGCATTTCTGAATTCAAATCAGATAAAAATAGAGAGCCTTGAGGTGAGGATGGGTAGGGTATCTCTTGGCATTAACTTACAAGCCATAAGGTGAGCAGTGCCTTTGCTAAGGAGGTGCTGAAGCAATGCTAATTTTCCATTTAGATTAAATGACATTTGGGGCTTTGGGTTGGCTTCCTTTCCAGCTTCAACTGGGCGCCATTTGGCCATCCCTTGTCTTGTTCCATCCCAAGATGCACGGGTATTATCATCTGTCTCTGCCGTCTGTTTCTTGTGTGAACATTTTATTCCCTTGAAAGACAGATCGCATGTCCCCGCCAGAGATGAGGATTCCAGATTCCTGGGTCTGGTGCCCACTGTGGTCCTGACTCATTGTTAGGCTTTGGGCTGCTCGGTCTCTAAACACCCAAATATCCCTATTTATACATGGAGCTTGTTGCCAGGCTTAATTGGTATTTATAAGATATTTCTGGGTTCCTGGATTACTGGGGCCTGTGTATAGACTCCAAAGGTTCTGTTACTGCTTTGCGAGAAATGAAAACCTCCTTAAGTCCCCTATTTTGGGAAGGGTTCAGAGGTCTGCATCTTCATTTCTGTCCTCCTCTCCAATGTAATCCTAAACCTAGATGGTTACTTCTGTCTCTGTTGTATGAGCTGATTCCCACTTAGTCACAGTATCAACCTGTAAGAAAGTGATGCTTAGTTGATGTGTTGGGTTTTTCCCCCCCCCCCATAATTGCAAACGAAGTCTTCTTTGCCCCCTCAGCAGTAGGTGAAATTGCAAGCTTTCCATCTGGCTTCCTGGGACTTTCCACGGTGCCGGGGAACCTACTTAAACCAAGCCTCTCTGCTGCCCCGGTATGTCCCTTGGGTGCTCAAGATAGCTGAGACTTGGAGAGTGAGATATATACCGAGAGGAGGAAGTTTACCAGAAAGAAACTGGTTGGGCTAGGAAAGGCAATTGATCTAGTTATTAATGGTTTGACTCCACCTTAGGTATTAAAAACCAGCAACAAAACAAAAGCTCAATTTTTGGTCTCTAGGTGTGTGTGTGTGTGTGTGTGTTTGTGTTTGCGTGAATGTGTGTTAATCTCGAGCAAAGGAGAGTATGACTCTTGTCATGGGTCCAGAAACTCAAGATGTCAAGAGCTAACTGTGCTAGAATTTCCCTTTGTTCTCTTTTTTTTTTTTTTTAAAATTTTATTTATTTATTTGAGAGAGAGAGAATGAGAGATAGAGAGCACGAGAGGGAAGAGGGTCAGAGGGAGAAGCAGACTCCCTGTGAGCAGGGAGCCCGATGTGGGACTCGATCCCAGGACTCCAGGATCATGACCTGAGCCGAAGGCAGTCGCTTAACCAACTGAGCCACCCAGGCGCCCTCCCTTTGTTCTCTTGATAAGCCCTCATCTGGCATACATTTGGAGGCAAGAGAATATGCTTTTCGGGACTTAGATTTTGCAGACCTCAAATTTAGTGTGATGACACACATCTTTAAAACACCACACCACGGCTGACTTATAGGTAGGATACTTTTAATAGGGAGGAGTGCATGGCCCCTGTCGTTAAGAGGAAATTGAAATACATTGATTTTGCACTTATCCTTACCTGTTAAAGACCCAGGGTCAAAGTTGGGCCTTGGTTAAGTGGAAACCAGTTAAGTCTCATGATCATAAAACAGACATGAATCTGCGAGGCAGAAACAGGTGACCAACATGTGGGATTCTCTGCTTAGCTCTCTAGTCTCATGTAGTGGGGATCCTAGGTTGATCTAAGGAAAAAAAACTTTTTGGGATACTAAGAGCAACAAGATGTGGGGAAGTAATCTGTTTGGGGCAGATTTTTTTTTTTTTTAAAGATTTTTTATTTATTTATTTATTAGAAAGCGAGCGAGCGAGAGAAACAGCATGAGAGGGGAGAAGGTCAGAGGGAGAAGCAGGCTCCCCGCTGAGCCGGAAGCCCGATGCGGGACTCGATCCCAGGACCCTGGGATCATGACCTGAGCCGAAGGCAGTCGCTTAACCAACTGAGCCACCCAGGCGCCCTGTTTGGGGCAGATTAAAATAAATATCCATTCAGCCTGGCGACCAGAAGGCTACTGTATATCATGAAACTTAATACTGTAATAGTTTTCCAGCCACGAAGAGAGAGTGAGTGATGGAGAGTCATTTTCTTACATCTCTTGAAAATGCAAGAGGCATTTTGGTTGCATACAAAAGGATTTGATAATAAAGGTTAGAGGTTTTGAGGAACTGTTAAGTGTAGTAAGATGCTGTCGTAAGTTGCCAAAGGAAATCCGGGTTATTAAAAAGAAATAAGGGCTCGATAGTTGTTTTTCTGGAAGAGTCAGACGCAGAAAAAAGATTTAGATGAGCAAAGAGATGGATAATAAGCAGTCAGTGTTTGTCCCTGTACTGTCAAGTCTCCTAAGTGCATTTAGGATTTTTTGTGACAAATTGGAAAATTGGAGCAATGACACTGATGAAGTTTTTCCTTTCTTGGGATTCCCCTTAAAGATAACATTGGGCCTTACTGGAAACCATCCCACCTCTCACAGGGCCACAGCCCCCTCCCACTCGTGTAGGAAACTGATGGCTGATGGCTCCGGCTGCAGATGCCAGAGCCTGAGTTCTCTGTTCGCTCTGGGATAAGTAACCCTAACCTGCCTATAGCCATGGAATGAAGTGACTAAGAAGAGGGAGGGTTACTTTAGAGTCATTGTTCTGGTGATGTGAAAGAAGTTCCCTCGTGGTATTACTTGATTATGATTTCATCTGTAAGACATTCAGTTAGCCTGGGGAAAGTTTCAACTGCTTTTTTTTTTTTTGTCATTAAAATCTGTATTTTTAGTACATTGTTTTAACTGAAGTATAGTTGACACACAATATTACATTAGTTTCAGGTGTACAGCATAGTGATTTTATGCCGCGCTCACCACAAGGGTAGCTACCGTCTGCCACATAATGCTATTACATTTCCGCTGACTGTTCCCTGTGCTGGCCTTTCATCCCCCATGACTACTCATTCTATAGTTGGAAGCCTGTACCTCCCACTGCCTTTTACCCATTTTGCCCATCCCCCACTTCCTCCTCCCCTGGCAACCACCCACTTTGTTCTCTGTATTGATGAGTCTGTTTCTGCTATTTGTTTTGGTTTTTGGATTCCACAGATAGGTGAAACCATACAGTATTTGTCTTTCCCTGTCTTATTACACTTAGCATTATGCCCTCTAGGCCCGTCTGTGTTGGTGCAAATGGCAAGATCTCATTCTTATATTTTTAGTAAATATTTTTAATACCTACTGTGTGCCAAGCACTGGGGTGTAAACAATAGTGACCGAAACAGATATGATCCTTACTTTCAGGAAGCTCGGAGCCCTGTGGGGAAGATACACATTAAACAAATGAACACGTAAATAAATAATCATGTATTGTGATAAGTACTGTGGAGGAAGAGAACAGGGTGTCATAAGAGGATGGAGGGGGAAAGACATGACTTAAAGAAGGAGATGGCCAATAGCTTCTCTGAGGCAGAAACCTGAAGTACGAAGAGATTTTTCTGGTGAAAAGTAGAGGAAGGGGACCTGAGGGAGAGGGAGCCGCCTTTGCAAAGGCCCTGGGGCAGGAGCACCTGGGAAGCTGGAGAG